CCCGATAATTGACGTTTATTAAACGGCCTTGGGCGTTTACTAAGCAGCGTTGCCCTGTTCAATTCATTCCTTCTGTGCGTTTGCTAAACGGCTTCGCTTGCCGGGGTGATTCTTATGGGGTGGTGGATAATTTCTTTTCGCAGTGAGTTGCCAACTCCATTGCTCACGCAATCATCCCACCCACCCACCCACAACTTCGTTTGCAAAACGCATGCGGTGGCGATTGCGATGGGTGCTTGACGTTGGCTGGTCCATCTCTGCGGCCGCGCCAGAACAAACACGCGCGCGACTTCTGTGCGAGTCGGCGGTTTGGGCGGGCGCGGTATCATGGCAACGCCGACAGCGGTAGACACGATGATGGTAGTAGGGGCGCCGGTGCTGATCACGCCGACGATGATGGAGTCCCCGCGTCGGTGATGAAGGTTTTGGAAGAAATTCGGAATGCGCTTGGTAGACGCGTGAGAGTAGCTCGCATGGTAATATTTTACACGGATCGTGCCACCCCAGCACGCGCGCAAGGGCGTTCGAACGATTTCGACATGCGCGCGCGCGAAATCCTTTGGTAGCATGTGATGAAAATGTTGAACACTTCTATGGTTTTCTGCAACATTCGCAAGAGTGTGCACGCACGCTTATGTTGAACACCCGCGTTGCGAAACTTTTTTTTTTTTTTTTTGAATACTCGATTTCAAACCCCTTCCGAAACCGAAGGTTTTTTAAAGGATTTCAGCATGCGCGCGCGAAGCCCGCTTGGTAGCATTTTATGAGCATGTTGAAGTCTTCATGGTTTCCGGAAGAATTCGCAAGAACGCGCGCACGCTTTCGTTTCAATATCCGTGTTGCGACACCATGTTTTTTTAGTTTTTCGATTTGGAAGTCCTTCCGGAACCGAAGGTTTTTGAGGGATTTCGGCATGCGCGCGCGACGACGCGCGCGTGTGCACTTCGTCCCGTCTGTTGCAAAATATTCTTGAACCATTTTAAGATTTTTGATCAACGAGTGCGCGGGTAGTCGTTTTTTTTTTGCCAGGGAACCAGGGTGGGAACGAGACCGATTTGGCTAGGATAAAATTGAATTCGCCAGTAGGATGGACATTGGGTCATAACCATTCGTGTTTTGCATCGGTTCCTGGGGAATCGAAGTCGGGGGGGGAAGGGTGGTATAACCTATTGTTTAGCAACGAGAATTTACTCGCCGAGTGTGTGAAGTTGTCAACTACACTGTTCGCGCAATCATCCCACCCACCCGCCCGCAACTTGGTTTGCAAAACCCATGCGGGAGCGATTGCGTTGGCTGGTGCATCTCTACGGCCGCGCTAGCCCGCACATGCTCGCGCGCGCAGCGGCCAGGTAGTTTGGCGCGACCGACGCGACCGCGGTGGCGCTGACCGCTCGGCACATCCCAGCGGGCACTTCAGTGCGAGTCGGCGGTTTGGGCGGGCGCGGTATCATGGCAACGTCGACGCTGGTAGACACGATGGTGCTAGTAGCGATGCTGGTGACGATGCTGACAGCGACGACGGGGCAGGCAGTGACGGCGCCGATGCTGATCACGCCGACGACGATGACGGCTCCTTCGCGTCGGTGATGAAGGTTTTGGAAGAGATTCGACATGCGCGCGCGGCAGACGCGTGAGAGTGGTTCGCGTGGTAATATTTTACACGGATCGTGCCACCCCAGCACGCGCGCAAAGGGCGTTCGAACGATTTGGACATGCGCGCGCGCGAAGTTTTTTGGTAGCATGTGATGGGCATGTTGAAAGCTTATGCATTTTTGAACGAATTCGCACGAACGTGCGCACGCTTTTGTTGAACATCCGCGTTGCGAAAGTGTGTGCGTGTGTGTGTGTGTGTGTGTCTTTTTGTAGACACTCGATTTTGAAACCCTTCCGAAACCGAGAGTTGTTGAAGGATTCCGGCATGCGCGCGCGACGACGCGCGCGTGTGCGTTTCGGTCCGTTTGTTGGATTTTTTGTTTTTTTGTGAAACAAATAAATGATTTTTGATAAGCAAATGTGCGCGCATAGTTATCGTTGGCAAGGGAACCGAGGGGGGTGATACCGGCTTGGTTGGGTATTCAGAATTCACAGATCGGGTGGACATTGGGTCGGAAACGCATGTGTTTTGCATCGGTTCCCGGGGACTCGATAAGTCCGGGGGGAGAGTGGTATAACCTTTTTTCCTCTTTTAGAAAGAAGGATAATTTTCTGCCTTCTACACCCGCGACTCAACAGCGATCCACCCGCGACCCACCCGCGACCGATTTGCGACCCACCCGCGACCCACCCGCGACCTACCCACATTGGTTGAACGAAAAGTCGGCGCCTGCGGCGGCTCGTTGTATAATTTGTTTTATGTTTTTGAAACTTTGGCGCCTGCGGTGGGCTTCTCCAGAGTCTCGCAAACTGCCGACGTCCCCACCGCCCCCTCACTGTTATCTGCATTTGCGGGGGGCTACGGTATATGTTGATCAGGCCGTCTCGGTCGACGGATCTACGCATACACATTAGCCACAATGGCATTCGGCCCATCCCGCCACCGTGCGAGGGTTGTGGGTCAGAGTTCGGAGCGCCTTCGGGGGCCTCTTGCGGGCAGGTTTGGGGCCTGTTGGGAGCCTCTTAGGGGGTCTCCTTGGAGTACCTCTTAGGGCTTTTGGGGGGCCTCTTACGGCCTTTGGGGGGCATCATGGGGGCGTTTTGGGGCTTCCTGGGGGCCCCTTAGGGGCCCCTTGGAACCGAGGGTTCGACATGTTTTCTCGGGTTCACCATCTGGGACCCCTCTTGGAACCGCCTGTGAGCCCCCTTGGGCCGTCTTGGGCGCCTCCTGGTCCGTCCTTGGGCGCTCTGGGGCCGTCTTGGGGCCCCCTTGGGGGCATCTGGGGCCGTCTTGGGGTGATCCTGAGTGCCTCCTGGGCAGTCTTGGAACGTCGGGAAGCCGAAACGGCGGGAACTCGAAAATCTTTCAAACACCCAAGGAGAGTCATTGCATTGTTGGAGCCCTCTTGGGGAGCCTCTTGGAGGCCTTTCGGGGCGCCTTTGATGCCTCTTGGAGGCCATCTAGAGGCCATCTTGGTTGTCTTGGGGCGATCGTTCGGCGACTCTGTGCCCTCTTCGGCAGTCTCGCAGGCATCTTGGAGCCCTCTGGGCCTGTCGTGGTGCCCTCTTGGGCACGAAGATGATGCGTGGGGAGACGATCCAGGGCCCAGGGGAAGCTCGCCAAGCCCAAGAAGATGTGAGACATTGGGGTCTGGGTCCCTAAAAGATTTCCGATTTCCCAGGACTGAGGACTGAGGATTGAGGCTTAGAGGATTTGAGGGTTGAGGCTCAGGGGATTGCGCAAAGGACTTGAGGATACGCCCACTCTGTGCCCTCGGCACGGTGGCGGCTAATGGATAGCAAGATGGATGATCCACACGTGTGTCGTATTAGTGTCAGTGCGATCGACAGTTCGGTGCCTAGACGGCACATCTGACACGAAGCCAATCGCAAACCGAACTTGTCCCGATACATTGCTATATCCAAGTGTACATGTATAACAAATATAGTTATGCAGTACATAATTTGCGCGCGCGCGCGTGTGTGTGTGTGTTTGTATAAATGCACGTGCACATACGCGTATGTATACATATAGCGGGGGACTGGGTCCGGGGGCCGGGGGCCGGCGCCTCGACCGCAAATGTGGGGCCCGGGGCCCCGGCCCGCCTCTGGGAGGCCTAAAATCGCCCCGGGGGGGCCCTCAGACAGCAATCCCGGCGGCCCCAGACGGTCTCAAAGCACCGCCCAAGAGGCTCCCAAAAACTGTTCCAAGACGGCCCAAGAGGGCCCCAAGAGAGCCCCACGACGGCCCGAGAGAGCCCCGAGACGGCCCCAGAGCCGCCCAAGACGGCGCAAGAGGGTCCGAAGAAGGTTCCAAAAGGGGCCCAAGAGAGGGAACGCGAACCGAAAAACCAAGCTCTCCGCCTCAAGATGCCCCCAAGAGGCCCCAAGATGCCCCCAGGAAGCCCCCAAGAGGCCTCAAGAGGCCCCAAAGAGGCCCCAAGAGGCCCCCAAGAAGCCCAAAAGAGGCTCCAAGAGGCCCCAAGACGGCACCCAAAAGGCTTCACAACTCTTTCTAAGAGGCCCCCGAAATCATGCCAAGAAGGTCCCATGACGACTTTAAGAAGCAGTCCAGGATGCTCCGAGGAGGCCCCAAGAAGCTCGCTAGAACTTGAGCGCGCGCGAAGCGCGCGCGATGGTTCTGGTGTATATTCAGGTATACGCAGATAGAGCTAGATATTCCCCAGGCTCGGCCTGGCAGCATTCTCAAAGGTCAGACCGTGCAAGCTGGCAGTTTTCTAGCTTGATTCCAGATCCCCCCCGCCCAGAGCGCTCGAAGGCGCCAGCCTCCTTCGCCTGCTCGACGCCGACGGCCCACCGACACTGCACCGAACGACAGTAGGCCACAATGTAGCGTCTCGAGCGACGTGTGTCGTAGTCCTCAGGGCTGCTTCGTGGGGTCTCTTCGGAGCGCTCTCGTAGGCCTCTGGTGGCAGTTCTGAGGCCTCTCGGGAGCCTCTTGTAGGCCTCTTGGGAGCCTCTTTGGGCTCGGCATGCTTATATATATATATATATGTATATGTCGAGTTCTATTGATGTGAGTATGCGTACATGCACATCTGTATGATGCTATCTATGTGTGCGTACACGCGCATTAGCGCCTGAGCCCCGCAGCCCGAGCATGGCAGCCCATGCGCCACCTCGCTTTGGCTCGCACCTGCGGGGCTTACCTTCAACAGTGAGAGTCAGCAGTGACTCGGGCGAAGCGAGGCTCCTCCCCTTCCCTCCTCCCCTATCCCTCCTGCCTGCCTTCCTTCCCCTCCCCTCTCCCTCTTCTATCTCCCCCTGCCAACCCCTCCTGCGGCTTCCCGTAGCCACTTGACTCAAGGGCAGCCTACCCAATGTAGTTTGCCGCGGCTGCTCAGCGCGGCAGAACCTGACCGAAACCACAGACCGAAACAACAGCAATGCGACGGAACATGATCGTGTCTTACACTTGGTTGACGTGCTTGTTGACCCTGGGCCACGCCGATGTTCGCGCTGTCCGCGCACGGGGCCGCTCCCGGGACAGCTTGCTGGTCCCGCTCGTGCACGGCAACGCCTCTTGGCTGCAGCAGCCCGGCGCCGACCCGCCGCCCCCCGGGGCTCCCGAGAGCAGCCGGCCGCTGGCGGACCAGCTCTTGGTGCCCCCTGTCAGCGGCGCCGACGTCCAGGCGGAGCAGCCAGTCGTGCCGGTGTCCATGCTGGAGGTGCAGAAGGCGCCCCTCGAGGACCCCCCTGGCGTGTTTATTTTTTGTCATGGCGTGGGCCCGCCGCAGTCTTCCGACCCTTTTCCCCGGGGCCTTTTTTCTGTTCATCCCAGGTCGTCTTTGGAGGGTAGTTGGGCCTGGCGAGGGCCTTCAGAGGCCGCAAGTTGCCCAAATACTTGCCGTCGCGTTTTGGATCGTGACCCGAGGGGGTGTGGCCGGGGGCAGGACAATTTCCACTACTATGTTACGTGTGTCCTCCACCACCATCGGGGGAGCGTAAGACCCGGGTTTGCCAGGACTCGGGTTCGCCATCGTTTTTTGACGACCGCGACTCGGATTTTGACGAGTAGGAGTTTCGTGGGATGTCTGCAGCGGGAGGCCTCGTCAAAATGCAGGCTCGGCCTCGTCATTTTTTTGACGACCTCGTCGGGGATTTCCGAGTCCCCTGTACCCGGGTCTTACGCCCCCCTGACACCAGTGGGAAATGTCGGCCCAGACACAGTGCACACATATATGATCCCGGGCTCCGGGCCCACGGGCCCCCGCCCCCCCCCCCAGATGGTATGGTCCCAGGATTCCTCGGCCCCGGATTCCACGGCCCCCCCCCCCCAGATGGTATGGTCCCAGAGACGACGACGACGACGACGACGGCGACGGCGACGGCGACGGCGACGGCGACGACGACGACCACGACGACGGCGACGGCTGCGGCGACGACGACGCCGGCGGCGGCGACGACGCCGGCGGCGGCGGCGGCGACGACGAGGACGACGACGACGACGATGACGACGACGATGACGACGACGACGACGACGACGACGACGACGACGACGACGACGACGACGACGACGACGAGGACGACGAGGACGACGAGGACGACGACGACGACGACGAGTACGACGAGGACGACGACGGCGACGACGACGACCTCTGAACCACCACAGCACCACACCACATCCATAGGGGGGGGGAGGGGGACACCGCAGCGCAGCACCACGCCACGCCCGCCTCTGAACCACCACAGCACCACGCCACATCCACAGGGGGGGGAGGGGGGCACCGCCGCGCAGCACCATGCCACGCCCACAGGGGGGGACGGGGGCGACCATCGCGCGGGGCGGGGGGGGGGGAGGGCCAATGGCATCAGCATCGGGGGGGGCGGGGCCCAAGCCCTGGACCATATATACATATATGTTGGCGGTGCGCCGTGGCACGAACCCCCCCCCCAGCACTACCAGGGGGTTTCGTGCACTACCGGGGGGTTTCGTGCAGCCCGCACCGGGCGCCGCCAGCGGCTTAGAACACCCCCCCCCTTGCCGCTTTACCGGGGGGGTTCGTGCAGGCCGTATTGGGTCCTCCCCTGTCGCTTTACCGGGGGGGTTCGTGCAGGCCGCACTGCGTCTACCTGGGTTCCCCCCCCCCCCCTGTGGGAGTGGGGGGGTGGGAGTAGGGGGTGGGTTGGGGGGGGGGCAGGGGTTGGGAAGGGTGGCTCCCTGTCGAAGTGTGGCGTGTGCTCGCCTGGTGTTCTCTTTTCGCGTCTGCTCGCCTTTGTTCCGCCGCAGCCTCTCGTATTGTGGCTCGTGGCCACAATACGAGAGGCTGCGGCGCAACTCCCAAGAGCCGCTGTGGGGGGTCGACGGCCCGGCCGCGTAGAGAAGAGCAGTGCCGCTGTGTTCCGGCACGGCCTTGGGATGCAATGCCGCCGCCGTGTTCCGGCCCGTCCTGGTAAGATTCGCGCGTCGGGGCTTGGGTTTGCGCGTGCCGGGAGCGCGCCGCTTACGAAGGGGTTGCGTCCTTACCGAGGGGGTTCGTGCAGCCTACCAGAGGAGGTCGTGTTTATCGGGGGGTTTCGTGCAGGCTCGCACTGGGAATGGCGCCAGCTCGAACCCCCCAAGGAGAGATTACCGGGGGGGGGGTTCGCTCCGCACCGGGCACCGCCGACATATATATATATATATATATATATGTGTATATCCCCATACATAATGTACCATATTTTTTATAGGTATCCATGTTAAGTTGCATATGTATATAGCTATTTCTCAACCTGTATGGATCATCTGTCGCCCAGAAGACAGGCCGGAAAATCATACACCGCGTTTTCCTGTGGCGCATCTGCACAGCCCCACGAGACAGGGTTCAGGTACCTTACTATACATACTCAGCGGCGATCGAGGGGGGTAAGTGAAAAGGGGCGGGTCTTCTCCGAAGGCTCGGAAGTCCTGGGGCCTTCCGAGAAGTTCTCTAAGCCTTCCCCGAAGGCACAGACAACTTTTCAGAAGGCGCGAGGGCTTTGAGAAGCCCCGCCGCCTTCTGCGCCCCCTCACTCGCCGCCAAATCTGGGCTCGAGGACCCCTTCTCGGCGCTGCAGGCGGTTCACGCGACGATCTCGGGCACGGCGGCGGCGGTCGCGGGCGGGGCCGCGCGCTGCTGGGAGGTGGTCGCCGCCCGCGCGGAGGCCTCCCTGGACCTGCTCTCATGGCGCCTCCGGGTCTTCCTCGCCAGCCTGCTCCTGGTCTTGGGGGGGGAAGACCAATGCAGTCAACCCGCATAGTGAGCATGGGCACCCTTCCCAAGGCTGCCCTTGCATCCTTGCCTCCTCGGCCTATTCTCGGCCACTTTCGTTGGCCGCGCCCCGCTCGAAAAGCTTCGAAATGGCCTCCCAAGGCCCTTGCATCCTTATCGTGCGTCCTCAGTCTATGGGTTGACTGTAACATGCACATAAGAGCTCGGATATCCGCGCGAGTCTCTCGGATCGGCGCTGGGGCCCCCTGGCGGCACCTTTGGCGCCGCCCCTCGCGTCTTCCGCGCGCCAGGAAGGGGGGTCCAACACCGATCCGAGGGATCCGCGGGGACCTTAGATGTTCAATGTTTGTGTCATTGCTTGTCCCCCTAGGCCTCCACGGCGCTCTGCGCCGCGGGCGCCGCCTACCGCCTGGGCCGCAAGGATCCTGGGCCTTTCAGTTGGGGGTCCGAGCAGCTGGGGTCGGAGGATCGCCGATTCATCGCCGGTGCATCGGCGACGCGGCTCGGTGTGGAGGCCGATTTTTCTCCACGCCGACGGCGCCGATGCATCGCCGACGTTGCCGAGGCATGGGCGATGCAGCGCAATCCTCCGCACTCGGACCCCGTCTGGGAGGCCTCCAAAGGACAGCAGGGCGGACCAGGCGCTGCGGGGGGGCAGCACGTGCGCCGAGTGGTGGGCGTAGGTGGGGGCGCCGAGGCCAGGGCGGCGGTGTGCGCCCGAGGGCCACGGCGTGGGCGCTGCCGCGCGGCTCCGGGCCGAGCGGCGTTGCCACTGCAGCGCGTGATTGCACGCATTTTGCAGGAGTAGCTGCGGGTGTGCCTGCGTGCATCTGTGGCGTATATTTGGCGAGCGAGCCGTAGAGACACCGAGGCTGAGAGCTCATTGTCGCGGGACGAGTCCTGGAGCCAGGCGGACAAACGCTGCGCAGTCACAGCTCGCGAGCTCTTCAGCTTCCTCGTGCCTCCTTTCTCTCTCTCCTCCAGGCGAGGAGAGGGGGGAAGCTCCCCACACCGCTGGGACTCCACAGGCTGATCCGAGCTCTGAAATGTGGGCGGCACGTGGCGGCCTCGCGACCTGGCCAGGAGGTCCGGGCCCAAGTCGGACCGGCGGAGGCTCCGGGTGGCGCTGGTCAGCTTTCCCCTCTGCGAGGCGCTGGGTTTATCTATATTCGGGCCAGACGAAAGGGGGGGATAGGGAAAGGGGGGGTTACGACATCTGCTGCATGCAGCTGGTTTCAGCCCACCGAAGGGCCCATTCCTCGATACATGGGCGCCTCTGGCGCCAGGAGGCGCCGGAAAAATCAGCTACGTCAGCTGATTCTCAAATTCCCCCTTTGCTATCCCCCCCTTTTCCCGGCCCGATATATCCGCCGCCTCTGGAACCGATGTGCTGGGACCCCAGGGGGCGGTGGATACGAATACATGGTGGCCACCCATGGCCCACGTATATCCATATCCACCGCCTCCTGAGGTGCAGGAAGATCGGTTGCGCAGGCGGTGAATGTGGATGAATCCCTGCCTCGCACTCTCTCGATTTCCAGTCCCCCTTTGGGGAGGGGGATGCGGAGGATAGCAGCGAGCAGCGAGAGGAGGACTCGGCGTTCCCTTCCGCCCTCCCCTCGGCGTCCCCCCAACATACTTATACTATATGTGCGTCGCCCCCCGGGGGCGATGCGCGCACCGAGAAATCTTATAGTACATGCGTCGTGGCGGGCGCATCCCGGCCACACCGCTCGGGAAACGATATACTACAAGATGGGTATACTACATGTTTGGGTCGGACGCGCGCCTCCAAGGAGAACATCTAGTACTAGTATGTTTTTGTGCATCCCATCCCCACCCGTTCCAGCTCAGTGAGCGTACAATTGGAGAGAGTCCCGGGCGAGAGCTGCACTCCATACGTGCAACCGCGGGGCACGTGTAACACAACTTCGCACGGCAGTAAAGCAACAGCCCCACTGTGGAAGCATTCCGCCTTCATCAATGGAAAGGTTGGGCATGTCTCGGGCCGGGCGAAAGGGGGGGATTGGGAAAGGGGGGGTTACGAAATTTGCTGCATGCAGCTGGTTTCGGCCTCACCGAGGGGCCCATTCCTCGATACATGGCCGCCTCCGGCGCCGGGAGGCGCCGGGAAAATCAGCTGCGTGAGCTGATTCTCAAACCCCCCCTTTGCTATCCCCCCCTTTCGCCCGACCCGAATGTCTAAGATCAGTGTGCGCGGTGCCATGGCGAGGGCTACGTTTTGTCAACGAACCGCCCTCCATCCGCGTCACCGTCAGAAGTTTTAGGCGGAGGATGGGGGCGGTGCTGGGGATGAGGGAAAATGGGGGGGGGGAAGGGGGGAGGAGATGGGGATCAGGCTGTCCCCAAACCACACTCAAACACTGTCGGCGCGTTCGAAACCACAGCGTTCCAGAGCGTTCTTGACAGGCTGCCGCGGCGCCAGACTCGTCTTCCGGGCTCACTGCCGCTCTGGCTTTCCCTCGTCTTTCGAGGGAGGGGAGGGGGGGTCGGGGATCGGGATGCGAGGTTGGGTGGTGGCTGCTCGGATGGGTGCGCCAGCTCCGAGCAGCGATGCCGCGACGCGGCGCCGCTTCGGCCTCCAGCCATGCGACAAGGAATCGGGGGAGGCGGATGAGGGGCTGGAGGACAAGGAGGGAAGAAGAGGGTGGAGGAAAGAGAGAGAGAGAGAGAGAGAGCGAGCGAGATTGGGGGACGAGAGAGAGAGAGAGAGAGAGATCGAGAGAGCGAGAGATGGGGAGGTGGAGGAGGGGGAGGGAGCAGGAGGAGGTGGAGCAGGAGGAGGATGAGGAGGAGGAAGAGGACGAGGAGGAGGAGGAGTTCTATTTCCCAACCATCCTGTGGTGTTGGGTTCTTGTTTTGAAGAGACGGTCCCCGCGTTCTCCTTCTCTCCTCCTCTTCCCCCTCCTCCTCCACAGTCTGCATGCGTCCCGCACACCCAGTACAGCGTTTCGTGGCCCGCCTCCCCCTCCTCCCTGCGTTCCACCCACCCAGCACAGCGTTTCGTGGCCCCATAGGGAGCCCCACCGAAGGTCCCAGTGCTACCGTCTGCATGCGTCCCGTACACCCAGTACAGCGCTTCGTGGCCCCATAGGGAGCCCCACCGAAGGTCCCAGCGCTATCGTCCGCATGCGTCCCGCACACCCAGTACAGCGTTTCGTGGCCCCATAGGGAGCTCCACCGAAGGTCCCAGTGCTACCGTCCGCATGCGTCCCGCACACCCAGTACAGCGTTTCGTGGCCCCATAGGGAGCCCCACCGAAGGTCCCAGCGCTATCGTCCGCATGCGTCCCGTACACCCAGTACAGCGCTTCGTGGCCCCATAGGGAGCTCCACCGAAGGTCCCAGTGCTACCGTCCGCATGCGTCCCGCACACCCAGTACAGCGTTTCGTGGCCCGCCTCCCCCTCCTCCCTGCGTTTCACCTACCCAGCACAGCGTTTCGTGGCCCCATAGGGAACTCCACCGAAGGTCATAGTGCTACCGTCCGCATGCGTCCCGCACACCCAGTACAGCGCTTCGTGGCCCCATAGGGAGCCCCACCGAAGGTCCCAGCGCTACCGTCCGCATGCGTCCCGCACGCCCAGTACAGCGCTTCGTGGCCCCATAGGGGGCCCCACCGGAGGTCCCAGCGCTACCGTCCGCATGCGTCCCGCACACACAGTACAGCGTTTCGTGGCCCCATAGGGAGCCCCACCGAAGGTCCCAGTGCTACCGTCCGCATGCGTCCCGCACACCCAGTACAGCGTTTCGTGGCCCGCCTCCCCCTCCTCCCTGCGTTTCACCCACCCAGTACAGCGTTTCGTGGCCCTATAGGGAGCTCCACCGAAGGTCCCAGTGCTACCGTCTGCATGCGTCCCGCACGCCCGGTACAGCGTCTCGTGGCCCCATAGGGAGCCCCACTGAAGGTCCCAGTGCTACCGTCCGCATGCGTCCCGCACACCCAGTACAGCGTTTCGTGGCCCCATAGGGAGCTCCACCGAAGGCCAAAGTGCCCCCGTCCGCATGCGTCCCTGAAGCCCAATTTGGCATTTTCACTTGCCCATTGTGCAGCGTTTCGTGGCCCCATAGTGGGCTCCACCCAAGGCCCCAGTGCCACCGTCCGCATGCGTCCGGGAAGTGTAATTTGGCATTTTCACCAGCGCAGTGCAGCGTTTCGTGGCCCCATAGGGGGCTCCACCGAAGCCACCAGTGGGCCCGTCCGCATGCGTCCTGGAAACCCAATTTGGCATTTTGGCTCACTCAGTAGAGCGTGTCGTGGCCCCATAGGGAGCCCCACCGAAGCCCTCAGTGGGACCGTCCACATGCGTCCCGGAAACCCAATTCGGCACACCACCCACACAGTACAGCGTTCCCCCCCGCCCAGTGCAGCGCTTCGTGGCCCCATAGGGAGCTTCACTGAAGCAGATATTCACAATTACGGTACCCACAACTGCATATGGTTGGGACCTTCGCCAGGATAGTTCACCAGCGTGAGGTCCGCATGATTATTCATGAAGGGGAAAAGGCTCGACCTGGATACGAGCAAGTTTCGGGTGCTTCCCCGAGCAAATGTCCTTCCAGGCCTGGGTTGCTTCTGTGGACTGGGGAAGCTTCGGGCAATCTCGAGCGAGATTCCTGACCCGCCCCCAGACGTGTACGAAAAACACTTGCTGCACGCATACAGCAGGGTGCCATCGGTGCTCGAAAACACAGTCAGAGAATGATGATGCCGATTGATTGCCAGGACCCGCTCTGGTGGAGAGCCTGAGCAGCCACCGACTGGAGGCATCTGCTCCCCCTGCTGGTTGACAAGCACACGTGACACCACCAAACGCTCCGACAAAATGACCATCCGTGTGCGGGAGGCTTAGCCTGACGCCCAGCTCCGATCTCGCGAGGGACCCCTTTCCAGATCCAGGCTCGGCCACTCGGGAAGCAGACAGGCAGCTAAACGAATGACAGCACGCGAAACTGACATGTGGAAGGCTACTTCGTCCAACTCGTCAGTCGAAGGCGAAGGGTGGGCCAGAGCCCCGCGCTTCACAGCTGAGTCCGCCTCGTCGTTCCCTTGCTTCTAGAACGCAGGCAATCCTACTAGATCGGTGTTGGTGACCTGAGCCTTCACGGTAACCACATCCGTGTAACAGGAGTTCGAGATGTTAAGAAACGCCCTCGCATTCTGCTGCTTATAGCTGGGACGCTGACGCAAACTGGAATGGACAGCTTGACCACATTTGCACAGCCAGAGTAATCTACGGAGGGGCCTATCAAGAGCTCACTGGTGGTCCCCAGGCCGCAGTAATCACCAGCCTAGCAGGCCACGGGGAGCCAACCAGGAACGGGCTCCGAGATAGTGCACTGCAATTCCTCCAGATCGTAATACACAGCCGCCCCCCAGCCAGACCTACAAAGCTCAGAGATGGGGCCCTTGCGCCATGACCTACCGAAAAAGACATGCCCAGAGATCTCAGTACACCCAGACGTCGGATCGCCTTCCCATTGTATCGATATACCCCTTCTGGAAAAGGTTTTGGAACCCAATCTCCAGCATGCTCGAACATGCCCGTGGAGAAGACCAGCCAATCAGGATCCGTCGGGCTCAGTGCGACAGCACTAGCGATGCGGTTCGATCTCACAGTGTCTGATCTGATACTGCTATCGGCAGAACAGCACCAGAGCCTC